TCTCTCTCTCTCTCTCTCTCTCTCTCTCTCTCTCTCTCTCCCTCCCTCCTTTTATCCCTCTCCCTCTTTCTTCATCCTTCCTCCTCCCGTCCCTTCCCTCCTTCTCCATCCTCCTCTTTTCCTTCTCTCCCCCTCTTTTCTCTGTACATTCTATCTTGTTTCTGCAGCCCCAAAGTCAGATAAAGGTCACTTGGAAATTCAGTGTTCCTCCTTCTAGGAGCTAGAAGGAAAATGCACATCAAAAATTAGGTTGAAGCCTGTGATTTTTTTTTCCTATGTATTAAGACATGATGGAATTATTTAATTACCTTTGCTAGCAAGTTGACGGACAAGCATCTTCCTATCACACTGCAGATCTGCAGATAGGATTATTTACATCCAATCTAAGGAGTGCTGACTGGTGTTGTTGGAAGCTAAAGCTGCATCAGCATTTAAATTCCCACTTTTCTGGGCAAAAACCCAACTGAATGATTCAATTAAACTCGTTATGTTATATATTATCCAGAAGTTCACAATACAAAGTGATCCTCCAGCCTGAACCCCTGCCTTTATGATTGCAATTTGGTAAGCAAGACAATTTCCAAGGACTATTTTACTTGAACTGCAATGAAAACGTCAGGCCATAACGCACTTTTGATGCAGGTTTTATGAACGGCACTCCAGAATCAACCATTATTTCAAGCACATGCAATAAATAACCTTCATTATTCATCAGAGAGTAAATATGCATTTGTATTTGCAAATATGGCTGGCAGCTTCCTGAGGAAAGCAGCCGGCAGTCAGCAGCTCCTTCAGCCATTTAGGGAGATAACAAATGGACCCCAGCCTCCTTAATTGTTATAGACCACCCTCCTAATTTCTGAGAGATGGGCAGCTCCGTGACAGCGTAGACTTTGGACAGTGTTCTCTGCCCCCTGTCTACTCACCTGAGCAGTGTGACTCAATGGGCTCTCAACTAATATATAGAAAAAGGGCATAATTTAATGCGTATCCTCTCTGATTCTATAGAAACATTTTTCCCGGTGATTCCTTTTTTAATAAATCGCTATCTTTTTATTTTGAGATGTTCAAGCCTAATGAACTCTTTAGACAGGATTAATGGATTCTGGAATTGGGCATTCTTCAGACCTGGGTGTGCAATGCTTGAGAATCTCTTTCTGGGGAGGTGTGCAAAAGATTAAGCACCTGATGCTCAAAAGTGAAGATCAGAGTAACAGGTCCCGGGGCCCCATGTCAAGGAAAGCTGGACAGGCATAACAGGTAATGCCAGAACTTGGGATCAAGAGAGAGGGGATCCCTGGGGCAAGCTGGCTGGCTGGAATGGCTAGAATTTGTGATCTCCAGGTTTCCTAAGAGATCCTGACTCCGCACATGACGTGGAGACTGAGTGAACACCTGATGCCAACTTTGGGCACACACACACACACTCACACACACACGCACGCATGCACACACACACACCCTACACACACACATAAATCTGGAAACATTTGTTCACCCGACACACAAAAACGTGTATACATACATGCACAGCAGATAAACATTCCCATGTGGAACAAAAAAGTAAAATAAAAGGTCGATCTTTCTTTTTCCTTTTTCTCTTTCTTTCTTCCTTTCTTTTCTTTTCTTTCTTTCTTGCTTTCTGTCTTTCTTTCTTTCCTAACACTTTTATCTGGTATTTATTATTTATTCAGTTCTGTTTATCTCTCAAAACAGAGGACAAACAGTTCCACATAGCTGTTCTTAGACACATACGGACAGACATAATACATAAAGCACTTAAGTCTCTCTGCCTGATGATGCCAAGATATCCAGCAAAGCCAGTTTTGCATCACATGTGTTTGGCATGGGTCAGGGGAGACATCTGCTCATTTCCAACTCCCCCAGGCTTCTTAAACGATCCAATACCAACTTGATTCTTTTCTTTTTTTTTTTTTACTGCCTATTGTTACATATAGAGACAACCCCATCTCCCGTTTATGATTCTGTACCTTAAATGATATGAAATCAGTTTGTTAGTTTGTCAATGCATCTGTCCACCAAAAGAAGTTATTGAGTGCTTATGTGTGGCCTATATGTGTCAGCTACCATCCTATGTGCTAGGTCCTTGAGATATTCATTTCAATAATTCTATAATGGACCAAATGATGTACATGCTCATTGACTGTTTCCTGTTTCCCAGCCCTAGCTTCTGATGCACTGTTCTTTGTAGCTGGGATCTTCTGGCCTCTGATGCTCTCTGTTGCTGTAACAAGGTATTAGAATCTGAGTGATGGAGAAAGAACGCGGGCTTATTTCTTACAATCTGGGGAAGGGAAGGTTAAGAAATTATACCTGGCACCCAACAGCCCCTTCCTGCTGCCTTGTAACTTGGCAAAGTCGCTGCATAGTAAAGAGGCATGCCTGTGAGACAGGGAAGAAATCAGATGAAACTCGCTGTGGCGTTCACTCCCCTGACAACTAGCCCACTCAATTGATAAGAGCCTTAGTCAGACCCTGAAGTCAAGTCGGTCCCCTCATGACAGGTGACCTCTTGAAGAACCCACCTCTTAATACTATTAAGATGGCAGGTCAGTCCGATAAGAGTTTGGATGGGACATTGATATCACAGCAGGGGTAAAACGGCATTAGCTGAAGCCACCAGTGTGAGGGTGGGATGGATGGTAACACAGAGAACGGGGGATTGTGGGTTAGGAAGAGGGCTCCGGTGGCTGTGTAATTATTACAGAGAAATGGTACTGCTTTAGCCACTAAGCATGAACAGACTACTGCAAACTACACCGGCTCTGCCTTCCATGCCAGGGTCTAATACACAGCACCAGTCATGTTCACTGTGGTAAGAATAGAAACCCCAGAGTAGGGAAAGATTATGTAACTGAAGCAACTCTTACGTTAGATGTGAGACTAACAAGAGAAACTGGATTAACTCTGTTCCAGTCAGAAGAAACAGCATATCCAAAGGCTTGGGAGCTGAAAGGAGTGTCACACTTAGAAAACAGAGTGACATGAGAAGAATAAGGGATGGGCAAGGTTAGACCGGAGGGGAGGCGGGGAAGAAGAGTCAGATCAGACCATGAAAGGTGTGAAGTCGCTGCTAAGAAGTTTAGACTTCATCTAAAGAAACAAAGACAAACAAACAAAACAAACTAACAAACCAAATCTAACCAAAACGGAAGTCACTGGTGACTCTTCAACAAGCAAAGGACGATGTGTGACAACCAAGGATAGCACAAATGACAAAGAGCTAGTAAAAGGATGCCACCTACCATGCGGGAGAGAAAATGAGATCGCCGTATACTCCTGGAAAGAGATGTCAGGACTGGTGTTGGGAGCTCCAGGACTTCTTTCCATACAAGTCAAGGCATGCCTACCTTCTATCATCATCTAGAAGGTTCCCTGTTCCCAGGCATCTCTTTGCCAGTGTACCCAATGACTCACTGTATCTCATTACAATTGATTGGAGAGGCCAAGGAACCTTAAGACATGTCATAACTGACACAGTTTTCTGGGAGAAGGGCACTGCACCCATGACATTTCACCTCAGCAAGGGGAGACCTTCACTGAAGTGTGTTCAGCAGGATGCTAGCGTCTGTCAGATGGTAATATTCACTACATTAACCAAACATACAAAGAAAGGATTTGCCCGTGAAATTGCTTGTGGGACTCTCTGAATCAAAACCAGATGGTTTCTTTTCTGCTTATTTATTTGTTGCAAGACTTTTAAACCTTTAATTCCTACCTTGCACGGTGGGGATCTGTTGGTTTTTCAAGGAGAGTGGTACGGAGAAGCGTATCGTGAGTCACTCTCGTGATTAGGGTTTTCAGGAAAAGTGATGAGCAGAGATCTTCATCGCTAGCAAGCTACTTTCATCCGCACTGCTGTGTTTGGTCCTCTGCAGAGCTCATGCGTGGGGAAAGCAGACATCACTGTGGGCAGTTTAACAGAAATAAACAAGAGTTAGTGGAAGTCAGAGTCCTGGGCTGAGTCCCTCCAAGTTCCTATAGGAAGTATCTTGGATTTGTACACCCACAAGACCAGAGCCATGGGTCCTCCTGACAAACACAAACACTGTCACCATCATTGCCTCAGCTAAAAGAAAATGGGCTTTTCCTATGCAGGGGCACCTTGCTCAGCCTAGATAGAGAGGGGAGGGTCTTGGTCCTGCCTCAAGTGATGTAACAGACTTTGCTGACTCCCTATGGGAGACCTTCACCTCTCTAAGGAGTGGAATGGTGAATGGGGGTGGGGTGATGGGAGAGCGGGAGGAGGGGAGGGAGAGGGAACTGGGGTGAATATGAATAAAAAAGATTGTTTAAAAAATAAAAAGAAAGAAAATGGACTGCAGGGGCCCAGAGCAGAAATCATGGAAGTAGGTGGAAGGGGATTGAACACCAAAGCGTGGGAGGAGTCATATGCATACGTAAAATTGTATATAATCAGGTGAGGGACGCAAGGGACCACTGATGTCTCATGGGTGATGTGATACAAATTACCCTTCTCTACATCTTTGGAGTCACTACCAAGGGAAGTGGAGCTGGCAGCCCAAGAGATCCCAGGAATTCATTGTTGTTCATTTTTGAATGATTCAATAATCATAAGTCCAGAAAATTCTATTGCAGATGTCCCCCATCAGCTGCATCTGCCCATCGCTGATACAACTGCTTCAGCAAAGCTGAAGTCTTCTGTCTGACTATGTGATGCTCACTGGGTGTGAAGCCATCTTCTTCGAAAATGAATTAATCCAAATTGAATGTGAAAGATGATTCTATAACTGGGTCAAATCGAAGGAGTAACTGGCTATAATACAGGCCACGTCCGCAAACTCTCGCTGTGATAGTATCCGTAGCTGGTTAGTCGACATTATAGCACGCCCTCTCCGTGCCAGATGTGGACTGAGCGCCAGCGAGAGGAGTATACAAGAGGGGCCAGGCCTCTGCCCTCACAGGAAATTAGAGACCACTAGAGAAGGGAAGTAATTATGAAACAAATCATTCTAACTTATTGAGTAAATAATTTAAAATGAAAGCATTCTCCAAAGAGCAAATGCAGTGGGAAAACCTAAGGAAAACCCAACCGCATCCTGTAACAGGTTTGAGCAGAAAAAGCTACACACAGCGTTCAGATTTTCCTTTGTTTGTGGTGCATGTGCGTCTTTGTGTGCATGCACAAGTTTGCAGATGTGAGTGCAGATGCACACGTGCAGAGTGCATCCTCAGAGATCAGAGAACCACTGTGGGTGACTGTCCTCGTATTCTGCCTTGATTGAGGTAGATTTGTTGTTTCCCGTGGCATATGCCAGCCAGCCTATCTGGTCCTCCTTTTGCCGGAGTTTTTCCTGTCTCTACTTCCATCTGACTATGGGAGTGTCGGGATAGATTACCTAATTTTTTACATGGATTTTGGGAATTTGAGCTCAGTTCTTTATCCTTATATGACCAACACTTTACCGACTGACCATCCCCTTCAGCCTGTGTAGAGTTTTCTAATGGTCTCTCATCTGAAAATGTCTACAAAATGGTGTGAGTAGATATCCCAGTGTTTCCTTAGGGTCCTCCTCAGAAAAATGTAAGATATGTTTGGGGATCCCTGAACTGTATAAAGTTCAGCTGACTTTTGTAAAGTCTCTGTCTTTTGGAGAACGTTCGGCATCGTGAGGGTCAAAGGCAAGCGCATGGGTGGAGCAGATCAAAAACTTCGTGGGAAACCTTTCTGTGACTGTTTGTGGCAGCTGGAGTTCCCAGGAAGACAACTTGGAAAGTACTGGCGCAGATGCCAAAAGTGCCTCCCAGTTTTAAAATTCAGTTACTAGGTTTTAGAAAAAGTATTCCACCAATAATATATAAAAAAAGGTCTAATGTGCAGTCACTTGGAGTCAGAGGTGGTTGCAAGTCTTCGTGGGGAATTATGAGTGTAAACTCAGATGGAAAGGGCCCAGAAATGGAAAATACTTAAAATAAGAAAAGCGAAATGCCATTTAAGCATATGCTATGCACTTGGAGGCAGAGGCTGGCGGATCTCTGTGGGTTCGAGGCCAGCCTGGTCTACAAGAGCTAGTTTTAGGACAGGCCCCAAAGCTACAGAGAAAGCCTGTCTCAACAGGGCGGCACAGGGGAGAATATGCTATGCAGCTAAGGAATATGCTGTGCAGCTAAGTGTAAATTGCCAGTCAACATTGAGAGTCACAGGGCCATCACTCACAGAATCTTCTGGAATTATGTGTGGAAGAATCCTGAGTAAACTAGACTGGCAGACTTACAAAAGAGATCGTTTCAAGTAAGCAGATGAGGACAGAGAGCTACGTGCCGGCTGCAGGCCCACGGGTGCTCCTCACCCTCCTTGGTGCAACTTCTTGTCTTCTCAGCTTCTTGGCCCCTGAACCTAACCTCACTTTTCTAATATTAATAACTTTTATTACCATGCATGTCGAGTTGTGTGAATTTTTCTCTCCTGAGATCTTTTACGTTTTAAACTCTCTACTTAAAAGATCTTCCTCACATCTCTTTGTGAGGGAAATTTTCCTAGATTTTCAGCTCCAGCTCCAATTTTACTTTATTCGTGAAACCTGCTGTCTAAACTCTGCCAGCCGAGAGTGTTACCATTTCTGACTAGCAATGACAGCGCGTGCTTCCAGGAGGCCTTCACTATTCAACCGCTGTCCCTTTGAGGGAATCGTGTTGCCCGCTCCGCTCATTACCTCATAGATTTCTGGGAAGTGTCCTCAGAAAGCCGTATCCCACAAGGAGTACATTGCAAGAGGTAAGATAGGTCTGTGACTGAACGGAATCAAGGGCTCTTTGTGTGTTCAGCAAATTTTGGATACTGAGCATATTGAGATAGCAGGATGGGAGTGGGGGTCAACTGTGAAAAAAAGATTTACCAACCAGAAGCAGGGCATTAACTTTACCCTCGTGAGATATCAGCTCTTTAAATTGTTCTAATAGGTGCCTGTAAGTACAGGAGACCAACAGAAGCCCTACTAGCTTAGCTGCAGTGGAAGAAGACTTTGAAGGAAGTTTTACTGTGGACTAAGGAAGGACCTGATTTTGAAACTTGAAAATCCTCCAATGACTCTGACCCCACAGGTAAGCTTCAACATCACCTACAAAACCCAATGATCCTCGGAGCTACACATGAGCCCCCAAAGTTAATAAGATCATCTAAAGCTGTAAGATATCATTCAAGAGCTCAGTGATTGTGACTGAAGCAGAAAGTTGACTTTCCTGGGTTTCTCATTTAGGAATCATTAGCTAGGTGTGATGGCTCCAGGCTATCAAGGCACTGAAAAAGGAGGGTTTGCCTTAAAAGTGTTGAGGACAAGATGGCCTACACAGTGTGCTCCTGTTGAGTCTGGGCTATAGTGGGAGACACTGCCAGTAGACAGACAAACAAATACAAAGAGAAATCCGAATGACATTGTCAATTTCCCTCTAGACTCTTCTCAGACACCTTTGTTTATTCCGGGTGTTTTCTGAGGTATGGAACCAAGCTTCAGGTCCCACATGGTAGTCAGTTAATCAAGTGATTCTTCATGGTTGAAGGCCAGCGGTAGGATCCCTGAGGTCTGTTGTATGTGGAGGTTGTCTGTTTTCCCTTACTTGGGGAATTACTTCCTTTCCTTGACTCCGGTCTTGAGAAACTTTTGCGTAATCTAGTCAGGTGGCTCTAGCCGGTATGGTGATTAGCTTCAGCTGCCTCCTTGATTCAGCTGTATAACACAAACGCTGTTTTCCTGTTCAACTGTAAGTAATAAATATGCTAAACATATTTATTAAATGTGGGGTGCAGCAGTGTCTTTATCCAGCAGCCCAGGCCACTGGGTCCCTCCTTTTCTGTGTGTTCCTGTATCTGTCTAGTTTTCAACTCTTCACTGCCCTGGTCAGCGTTCTGAGATCTAAGTCAAGCCATGATACTAACAACGGAGCTCAGGCTGTTGTCTCTTACACACTTCTCGTGTGCCTGAACTACACAGAACTTCAAAAAGGAACAAGAAAGGGAAACAGTCTTCTTCCTTTTTCTCTTCTTCTATGTCTGCCATAATGTTGTTAGCCAGATTTCTTTTCTAAGTGTTTTTCTTTTTATTCTTTTATATCATAATTCTATATTTTATATATTATTTTGAAATCATGTTGTCTAAAATTACAGTGTTTTCTATATAACTTCTCCTGAACAGTATTCTTAATCACTTTGTCTCCATCTTACAGGTTAGAAAATATTTCAACATTTTTTATTAATATTCATGCCTTAATATACTTTCCATATAATAGTCTAAGACAAGATAGTTAAGCCAGCCATGTTATGCCCATGGACTTGATGTGTGAGCTCTCCTTCAGTTTTAAATGCTCACATATGGGGCTAGATAGATGGTTCAGCAATTAGGAAAACTCACTTCTGAGCAAAAGACCTAGGTTCAGTTCCCAAAACATACATAGCATCTCACAACCACTTATAACTCGAGTTCCAGGAGATCCAACACCCTCTTTTGGGTTTTTGCACCCACAGCATACATATACACTCATTCAAACATACAAGGATATGAAAAAAATAAATAATAAACCTTAAATGTGCTCAAATATGTTTGGTTAGGGTTGACAGAGGTTTCTGTCCTGCCCAGTCCCACAACCATTCAGTTCCAAAGAAACACACGGAGGCCTACAATGGTTATAAACTGGTTGGCCTATTATCTCAGGCTTCTTATTAACTAATTCTTACGTTTTAAATTAGACCATAATTCTTGTCTGTGTTAGCCACATTGCTCGGTAACTTTATCAGTGAGGCATTCTCATCTTGCTTCCTCTATATCTGGATGATGAATGCAGACTGAACCTTTCGTCTTGCCAGAATTTTCCTTCTCCTCTTCTGGTTGCCCCACCTTTCCTTCCTGCCTGGTTACTGGCCAATCAGCATTTTATTAAACCAGTGCAACTGACAAACATTTACAGGGTACAAGACCATTGTCCTACAGTACTTCCCCCCCTACTTTTTTTCAAAACAAGAACTCTGAATCTAATCTCTTTTGTTCAGCTTTCTTCCTGACCAATATCAAGAACAGCTTGTAACCAACACTCTAAACAAAGAAAAACATCCATGATCCATTTTTTGAGAATGTGGGCATAGTTTCCAGTCCACTTCCTGCTGATTAGGAGCACTGATAATCTTACAGGGAAGAAAATTTGAATTATGGTTTAATCCTAACTGGAGGCTTGTTCATCTCAGCTAGAAGTCTTGATCTGGTCTGGATGTAAAACTCAAACATCTGGGCCATCTGCTCCTATCGGGGATTTCTCAGGGTGTCTTCCTTGGTCAAACCTGATTTTTCTTAATACAGAATGAATCCACAGTCCCTCATTTCCTCTTGAAACAAAAACAAAACCTCTTTTCCAAAGTATCATATCTTTTGACTTAAATTTTGAAGTCAAGGCATTTTTAAAATATATATATATTTGATTAATCCAGCAGCATTTATATTCAAATGTCTTTTAGCAGATGTTGCTCCTTCCTCAGCATTCAAACAATTCAAAGAGAACATAATAACATACAGTATCCAGATTTTCTGTGTATTTTTCTTCTTTACATGGTTTTATTTTAAACTCCATTTCTTTTTAATTTTAATTTTTGTTTTTTTGAGACAAGTTTTCTCTGTGTATCTTTGGCTGCCCTGGAACTCACTCTGTAGACCAGACTGTCCTTGAACTAACAGAGATCTGCCTGCCTCTGCCTCCCAAGTGTTGGGATTAAAGGTGTGCACCACCACACCTAACTACTCTCTTTCTTTTTTTTTTAAGGACTTTATCCTTTTTCTTTTCTCTCTCAACAACATGTATTTTTAAACACACTGTAAACCATTTAGAGGTTTTCTTTTATCTGAACCTATCTTTACCATATATCTCTCTTTTCCTGACCTTATGAGCCTTTAATTTGCTAAGCAATATGGCTAGGATTAGAGCTGTGGCTTTGACAGCTGGATCCATCCCATTCCTTAGCTTTCTGAGAGTCTAGCCTCATGGTGGAGGTACTGGTAGGAGCTATGTTTATTGGCACAATTCTGTGCAGTTTCAAGGACTGTACCACTACCAAGAAGCATGCTGTTGGCTATTCATAAAAACCATTTAAGTATTTGCTGGTGGGTCCTCTTAAAACAGCTGCAAGGTTTTTGCAGCTAAAACTGAGTCAGGAAGCCTTTGTCAAATGAGATGCTCTTGGCTCTGGCAAACAGAGTACACCTGAGAAAATGCTGCTCTCAAGAAGCCATGCTTAACTCTGTTCTTTTTTGTCTAGAGTTATTTCCCAGGCTCTTTCAGGTTTTATGTGGATGCAGTTGTCCACGCTGACACCGTTTGTTGACGGAGGTTTCTGTTCTACCCGGTCCCACAGCCGTTTAGTCTCCATCTTACAGGTTGGAAAATATTTCAACAGTCTTTCTTTTATTATTATTTATGTCTTAATATACTTTGCATATAGTAGTCTAAGACGAGAAAGCTAAGCCAGCCATGGTATGTCCATGGACTTGATGTGTGTGCTTTCCTTCCATTTTAAATGCTCAAACATTGGGCTAGAAAGATGGCTCAGCAATTAGCAAAAGATGGCTCATTGCTTAGCAAAAGACCTAGGTTCAGTTCCCAGCACATACACAGCATCCCACAACCACCTATAACTCGAGTTCCAGGGGATCCAACACCCTCTTGTGGGCTTTTGCATCCACAGCATACATATACATCCATTCAAACTTGCAAGAATATGAAAAAATAAATAATAAAGTGCTCAAATATGTTTGGTTAAGGCAGCGGTACTCAACCTTATTAATGCCATGATCCCTTAAAGTTGCAGTGTCCCCCAACCATAAATCTATTTTCATTTCCCCTTCACAACTGTAGTTTTGCTAGTGTTGTGAACAGTAATGTAAACATCTGATATGCAGATGGTCTTAGCAATCCCTGTGAAAGATTCATTTAATCCCTAAAGGACTGGAGACTAACAGATTGAGAATTGCTGATTTAGAGTCACTCCAGTCAGAACTGGAACTTAGATGTATTATATATCCTCTTCTCGTTATGCCTGAACCCTCAAGGAAATGTGAGGAGACAGAATTCTGTGAATTCCTAGAATTTTGTATTAGAAAATTCGATGGTATTTGTGTCCCTAGTTGAAATCTTAGCCTGGCTGAAAGTAATAGCAATAGGAGAGGAAGGGCAATGATTGGGTTCTGGGTTATAAACATGATAGGTGTGAAGAGACTTCAGGGTGCCCTTCACACTCCTATTATTTGATGCCCTGTGGTAAGGTGGTATCTACACACAAGACAAGAGCCCTCACCAGACATCCAATCAGTTGCCATAATGGCAGGCACTAGAACACTCAAGAAATATGTTTCTGTGATTCAAGGGTTACTAGTTCACAGTATTTTATTATAATAGTATAAATAGCTTCTAGTAAGAAGCCACATAGATGCTTTTAGAAAACACAGCACCACAATTAAACAATGAGGCTATAGGGCTTCTCTCTGAGGTTGCCTCCAATAGAACAGTAATGAACCACACACTGCATTAGGCAGTCAGTTGTAGATATAGTCATCTTTCCTACTTAGCCATCTAATAGCATGAAGACACGTCTACCACACTGGAAACGGTGCAGGATATTCTTTGGTGGACACAGTGGCGGGAGTTCTTTGGGTGCTTTATTTCAAACAGAAGTGTCAGTGTGTCCATGAGAACTCTCCTACTTCATGTTCAGGATAAAGAATCATATGTTGATGTAGTCTTTCTTCACTTTGTTTCATAGATTCCCTCTTTTATTTATAGTATAACATCTGAAACCTTCTGTGTCCATGGTTGATGTAGGTTTCTCTCTGGAAAGCTGAAAATTTTACTAATATTATTGTTGTGAGTAGCGGAGATGGGGGAAATAATATGCCAATCTATCTAGATTAGTTTTAGTTACACCCTTTGGGGCCAATGCCTCTTCTTTAACTCTGTTCTAAGCTTAAGGTTTTTAAGTCTTTGTTTAAGTCTGGTTTAAGAAATACTATCCTACATCTACTACATAGCAATTCCACTGATAATGGAATTCAGCTTCTATGGATGCCCACACTGACCTAGAT